CTTATCCGCTAGTATTTGGCAGCTGTTCTACAAGTCACTAATTGGACTCTCCTCCATAATCTATCAAGCTTCAGTTTAAAGAACGCTGTCTTTGTATACCCTCAGTGTTCTGCAAAACTTCATTACATCCACCTCAACAAGAAAGGAAAAGGAAAAAAACAAAAACCAAAATCTTCAAAGGAAAGGAGCAGACAGGCAATCAAAGAGGAAACTAATTTTTGTTTAGTTTAGTTGTCATCTTGGCTTTCTGAACAAGAACAAGTCTACCAAAAACAGCTGTATACTTAATTCAGTGGCACCCAATTGCATCTTATTGGGGGATTGCAGCATAAAAAATAAATTTAAGATACACAAGTCCATAGGACCTGCTGAGATGCATCCACAGGTCCTGTGGGAGTTGGCAGATGAAGTTTCTAAACCACTATCTATCATATTTGAAAAGTTGTGGCAGTTCAGTGAAATTCCCACTGACTAGAAAAGGGGAAGCATAACCCTCCTTTTTAAAATAAGGAAAAAGGAAGACCTGGAGAACTGCAGACTAGTCAGACTCACCTTTGTACCCCGCAAGATCATGGAGCAGACCTTCCTGGAAACTATGCCAAGGCACATGGAAAAGAGAAAGGGGACTTGTGGCAGCCAACATGGCTTCACTAAAGGCAAATTGCGCCTGACAAATTTGGCGGCCTTCTATGACAGTGTTACAGTGTTGGTGGATAAGGGAAGTGCAACTGACATCATCTACCTGGACCCATGCAAAGCATTTGACACTGTCCCACATAAGATCCTTGTCTCTGAATCGGAGAGATGTGGATTTGACAGATGGAAAACGTCGTGGATAAGGAATTGGCTGGACAGCTGCACTCAAAGAATTGCTGTTAATAGCTCAACATCCAGGTGGAGACCAGTGATGAGTGGTGTCCCTCAGGGGGCTTTATTGGGATCAGTATTATTTAACATCTTTGTCAGGGATATGGACAGTGAGACTGAGTGCACCCTCAGCAAGTTTGCTGATGACACAAAGCTGTGAGGTGCAGTCGACATGCTGGAGGGAAGGGATGCCATCCAGAAGAACCTGGACAGGCTTGAGAAGGGGGCCCCTGTGAACCTAATGAAGTTCAGCAAGGTCAAGCGCAAGAACCTACATGTGGGTTGGGGCAACCCCCAGCACAAATACAGGTTGGACGGAGAATAGACTGAGAACAGCCCTGAGGAGAAGGACTTGGGGGTGCTGATGGATGAGAAGTTCAACATGAGCCAGCAATGCACACTTGCAGCCCAGAAAGCCATCTCCATCCTGGGCTGCATCAAAAGCAGCAGGGGTAGCAGGTCAAGGAATGTGATTCTGCCCCTCTGCTCTCATGAGAATCCACCTGAAGTCCTGTGTTCAGTTCAGCAACCCTCAACACAGGAAGGACATGGACCTGTTGGAGTGAGTCCAGAGGAAGGCCACAAAGATGACCAGAGGGCTAATGTGATTCTGCCCCTCTGCTCTCATGAGAATCCACCTGAAGTCCTGTGTTCAGTTCAGCAACCCTCAACACAGGAAGGACATGGACCTGTTGGAGTGAGTCCAGAGGAAGGCCACAAAGATGACCAGAGGGCTAGAACACCTCTCCTGTGAAGACAGGCTGAGAGATTTGGGGTTGTTCAGCCTGGAGAAGAGAAGGCTCTGTGGAGACTTTATTGTGGCCTTCCAGTACCTTAAGTGGGCCTACAGGAGCAATGGGGAGAGACTCTTTATCAGAGAGCATAGTGATAGGATGATGAATTCAGTTTATGTCGCATAGTTAAGTTAGATGTCTCCAGTGACCTACTACATATACAGAAAACATGAACCTTCAACAGTAAAAAGCTTAATTTTCACATTTGCTTTCTCATTCTTTGGGAATGCTTGGCTTCAACCGACATGGGAAAAAAAAAATATTTTCTTTTTTGCAGCTAAAAGTTTTTACTTGAATTCTCTTTAACATCTTTATCAATGATCTGGACGAGGGGATCAAGTGCACCCTCAGTAAGTTCGCAGACGACACCAAGCTGGGTGGCAGTGTCGACCTGCTGGAGGGTAGAGAGGCTTTGCAGAGAGATCTGGACAGGCTGGATGGATGGGCTGAGACCAACGGGATGAGGTTCAACAAGGCCAAGTGCCAGGTCCTGCACTTGGGTCACAACAACCCCAGGCAGCGCTACAGGCTGGGGGCAGAGTGGCTGGAGAGCTGCCGGGCAGAAAAGGACCTGGGGGTGTTGGTCGACTGTCGGCTGAACATGAGCCAGCAGTGTGCCCAGGTGGCCAAGAAGGCCAACAGCATCCTGGCCTGGATCAGGAACAGCGTGGTGAGTAGGGCCCGAGAGGTGATTGTCCCCCTGTACTCGGCACTGGTGAGGCCCCACCTCGAGTACTGTGTCCAGTTTTGGGCCCCCTACCATAAAAAAGACATTGAGGTGCTGGAGCGGGTCCAGAGAAGAGCAACAAAGATGGTGAGGGGTCTGTAGCACAAGTCTTATGAGGAGATGCTGAGGGAGCTGGGGTTATTCAGCCTGGAGAAGAGGAGGCTGAGGGGAGACCTTATTGCTCTCTACAACTACCTGAAAGGAGGGTGTAGAGAGATGGGGGTCTGTCTCTTCTCTCAAGTCACAGGTGACAGGAGGAGAGGAAATGGCCTCAAATTACACCAGGGGAAGTTCAGGCTGGATATTAGGAAAAATTTTTTCACCGAAAGGGTTATCAGACATTGGAAAGGGCTGCCCAGGGAGGTGGTTGAGGCACCATCCCTGGAGGTGTTCAAAAGACAGGTTGATATAGTGCTGGGAGTAATGGTTTAGTGATGGTGTTGCTTTTTGTTTGTTGTGCGGGTGTCTATTTTTGTCAAAGTTAGGTTGACGGTTGGACAAGATGATCTTTAAGGTCCCTTCCAACCTAGAAGATTCTGTGATTCTGTGAAAATGTCTAACAATCTCTTTGAGTAAAAAGAAAATTAAATTATTTTTCTAGAAGAACATTATGTTTCACAGGGCCTTTTCAGAAGCTAGTTCTGTTTTAACCAAACAATTTCATATTTGAAGCAGGAACCACAGAACCTGCACAACAATCTGCAATGACTTCATTTACCAAAAAAATTAAATAATCACAATAAACATTTGGACATGATCCAAAGGTTTGGATTTTTTTTTTTACTTTCTCTTTTGTGGTAAACACTTCTACTGGTAATCTTTTGAGTATGACCTAACATATGCTTTTTCCAGACACCTTGTTAGAAAGACCTTTCATCTGCTGATTTCTCAGATGAGGAGCCAGGAAAGACCTGCATATGTACATTTAAAAAAAAAAACAAAACAAAAAATAGATAATATGAACACTCTTCTTTTAGACAGCTGTTTAGAAATAGGAAGAAGTCAGAGTTGAGGCAAAAGCAGATAATGAAGGAAAAACCTTCTAGCTTAGCTCTTGCCACTGCTGGTTAAGTCTGGAATCAAAAGCATCTAGCAAGAGGATTTCCAAATCTTGCCACAGAAATTAAAGTAATTCTCTTTATAAAACACTGTGCTTAAGAGATTAAATGAAGGCCAACATACTGTGCCATTCTAGAGAGAACCAAAGTACAGGCTAATTAAAATACCTGCAACATTTGCTGCAAGGGGTGCTAGTGAAGAACAACAGTCCATTTTGGTGTTTTTGCCCTGGCAAGCTATACAGATGTCTTAATTTCCACTTTCTCTTAAGTCTACATGTATCCCATACACACCTCAGATGAACTTCAAGGGCTGTATTACTATTTTATCATCTGTGGTAGCTGGTAGGCATGATCTCCACAGCACTATTTTGCAAAGAGTTGTGGAAGATCAAGCACTTCTTGGTTTCATATGAATTCTACCAGTCAGTGTGCCTACGAGCCTATGTTCATTGTCATGTTTCCCTAAATCACACTGATACCTACTTCAACAAATATAGTTTAAATACAGGAATATAAGACAGAGCTATACATCTTCCTATACATACTACTTTTCACCAGTATCCTATTGCTTTGGCTTCCTTATACTGAAAACTGAAAACCTCAGGAGCAGAATTGTGGCAACTGCCCCACTTCTTTGTTCTGCTGCAGTCCACAAACTACACTGCAAAGTACATCACACAGCTCATTATGTCCCTCAGACATGAATATTACTGTCTTCTACTGGTAATAAAAGAATATGTTAATATTTGTAAAGAAATGAGACACTATGATACACCCATAATAGCAACTGTGTAGCCAGTGAGCTACTATAAGATTATTAATTTCTGATCAATCACTTTTCCAAGAGCTTAATTCACCTTAACTTCAGAGTTACTGGAAGAATTTGGAACTGTTTTAAGAGGGTTTGATTAGACTCCTTGTGTATTATTCCCATGCACCAACATTTTAGGTATTGTGTGTCTATCCAATGGCCACAGAAAAGTTTTTGTGATGCCATTAGTATACATGTCCAAATATTAACTTTCTGTCCTCTATAATGGACATGAAGTTAATCATTAGTTTTGTGTATACTGGAATATTATTTATAGAAACCAGTCTCTCCTCCTTTAAAATATTAACTGTAGCATAACCCACTGCAACCAGTGCAAATACCAGAAACATTACTAATTTTAAAATTTCTGAAATAACTTTATAACAATCCAAGTGCATTTTTCAATTAAGTGTGTGAAGTTTCTACCTTTTTTTAATACTTCAAGTTCCAAAAATGTTTTAACTATATCTACATTAGAAAGCAACCCCAGCCCTGATATATATATATATAAATAAATATATCTTAAAAAGAGATGGAGCATGCATACATGCAGGGGACCTAATTAGTAAAATGGAATTCAAACACCAGCTGCCCAGCTCTTACAGATGCAACTTCTTAGAAACTTGGAACTTCACATGCTGAAATTCCATAGTTCATACACTTCCTCAGGACACAGGCTTAAAAATTGTGCTAGCATTTATAAGAGAAAAAACACCCAGACAGCAGCAGTTTACTAGCACTTCTGACATTAGGAAAATATTTATTATAGAATGTACTTATAAGAAATATTGTTTCATTACGCAATTTTTTTCCAGTGAAATCAAATTTTATCGCTGCTGGTGTCACAGAACATCTTCACATTTGATGTAGGTATGAGAGACCAGTTACAAAGTCACCGAATGGAACTAACTTTGACAAAAGCAAGTAGTTCAGTTACACTACATACAACAGATTATAAACATAACTTTAAGCTGCAACCGCACTGCAGCTGCAAGAACTTGAATAAAGTGACACATTAATTATCTTTTCAAAAAAATTTATCATAGTACAAGATTTAGACATTACAGTTACCAGCAACATTCTTCTAACTTATAGTTTGGAAATTTAAGCCATTATTGTAAACCTAAAGAGTTTAGAAAGTATTGCACCCTCTTTCTAAACTAAAATATATAATATAGATAGTATTTTACATACAATATTTTATACATATTTGTTTTCGCATTGCAATTAAACAGGCAAAATTTACATTTTTGTTTCGGTACCAAAGATTTAATTTCAGACCCTAGTTTGAGGTTCCCGTAGCACTGCGAACAGAAGATGTCAAATCATGATCAGAGAGAAAGGAAACAGTGGCAGGAGCTGCTTCAGGAGGCACGGGTGCAAGCACATGACGACAAACCGGGCATGTTCCCGACTACAAAAAAAAACAAAACACACAATCCTGGGTCATCTGCATGGTTTGCATTCAATTATGTTGGAAAGCTATGGATTATTATTTATGAAGTACTTCATGTCTTCACAACAACACTGTCTCAAAAGTCAGATTTGACTGGGTGACTACCTGGAGCTAAGAGACAGGTAACGATGCCAAAAGGAAGCTTTGTTTTGCTTTAAAACCAGTTACACAGCAGATACATCAGGCCCTCTGCAAGGTCTTCTTCAAAGAATTGATTTTACAGGTTGGAATTTTTTTTTCCAGTCAAGGATTAAAAATAAACTAAGTATAGCCCAGATCTAACAGGAAGTATTTTGTCCTACTTTTCAGCAAAAGCAATTTACTATGACAGCAGAAACAGGGGAGACATAATACAAGCAATATCAAAGTTGTAATTGACAGTATCAGGATGAAAAAAAATAATTATAAACCCACCACCAGCCCATGCTAGAGGTGCTCTATCTCCCTAGTCTGAATCAATTACTCTTCTTCTTGTATCTCTTGAGGAAATGATGTGTTACACTGTAGGCCCACTGAGAACCAGCAAGTCCAGACTCCTACTGTGTGTAAAGCAGAGTGCAAGTGCAAGGAAAAAAATACCAATTCATTAATTACAATTTGTTTAGCCTAGCCATCTTCTTTACTTCAAGGTATGAGCACAGCAAAGAAACTTTTCTTGTACCAAAACAAGTTAACTCATCCAACTCTTTCACTTTTACTAGTCAGTCCACATTTTTCCTTACAAAAATACCCCTTCTATTCAAGAAATTGCCCTTCAGGTGAGTGCAGATACAAATTACTTTACTCACTTGCACTACAATTTGGTTCAATAATGCATAAAATTAAGAGCCAGTTATTTCTTGGTATTTCATCACACATTTTCAAAGTTAAAGTGTTCTTCCCAGAAGAATGCAAATACTCAAAAAAACCCAATAAAACCTTACCAATCCTGTAGTACTTACCTTCTGTAACCAAAGAGTTACACAAAGTTTGTGAAACAAATGATGACAGGGTAGCTCTGTTATGATTTCATCTTTTACATATTCACTGCAACAGATAGTGCAGCACTGCTCTTGACCTACAGCCGTGATGAAGAAAAAGCATTATTATCTTGTTTTACATCCAAGATAAGCTGCAATTAAAATACACATTATTAACAGTATCACTAATGAGTACAAAATACAATTACAGTTCAGTAAAGATTAGTTTTCCAAACTGACCAAAGTTATATTCAGTCTGATTCAAGATCCAAAAGCTCTTAGAAAACATTGCCAGCTGCACAGTAAGGATGTTTAAATACTGCATCTATGGTATTACAGAACTGGATTTCTTCTTATAAACTTTGTAAAAATTAATTAATTATTTTTGCATACCTTCATGGTCATCTGTGATGACAATCTGTGGCAGACAATCTATAGCTTCTTTAGTAGCTGGTGGATGAGCCTGTTCAACATCAAATCCAAGAGACTCCAGATGTGCCATAGCAGTCTGAAAAGGGCGAGCAGAGACCAAGCCCTCTTACTCAAAACAGTAACATTCCATACAAAAACAAAAAACAAGACAAGGACTCCAATTCTAGTAGCATTATTTTCTTAAATGGAAATTACGTCTGTCAGACTAACCATTACATCATTTTTATTTTCATGATGAGTGCTGAAACTGAAGGTCAAAACAATAACAGCTTGTTTTTTAAGCTTTCTTAAAGTACCAGGACAGAGTCACAACTTCTCTAATGAAAATTTGTTCTTTCTGGAAAGTTTCAGAAAAGGCAGCAAGTCAAAAACATAATAAAGCTTGCTTATACAAAACTGTCATTATGTATCCCTTCCTAAAAATAAAAGCCTCATTAATGTGTTTCTGGGCTTCAACTATTGAACTACTCAAGTACAAAAGAAAATAGTAGAGTACATTGGCTACACTACAAATATAGTCTTTCAGTAAAAAACAGGATCCACACAGATGTTTCTCATCTGTATAATGACAAAGTGCTCTGAAGTCCTCTTGTTTAAAGCCTAAATTTTTTCACTGTACTAAATCTTTAAGACTCTGATGCCACCGCAGGCAGATTTGACTTTTACATCATACATTCAACCTCACAAGACACTGAAACGATCTCCAGTAGAAAAAAAACCAAACACACAACACAGAACTCAGATTGGTTATATTCAGTGAGAAATGTCAAATGTTTGTGGCAGCAGAGACATTAGCATGAGCTAACAGACAAATATTTAGAACTCCTACCACCACACATTCTCACCTATAAATTTGCTAATTTAAAGGAAATCATAGGACAGTTATCGCTAGTGCAATATGCAAGTCCACCTGCAAGACAAGTACACTTATCCTATTTAACAGCCTAAAACATTCAATTCTACTACAGCAGACAACACTGCCTTACTAACATTACAGCAATTTTAGTATTTCTAACAGTATTTTGCTACAACTGCAGTGGTCTGAGAATAATCCGTAGGCAAAAATATTGTGCTTAATCAGATTAACTACTACAGCTGGAAAAATGAGATGTTATCCCAGCAGACAGAAGGATGCAATATTACCTACATGTCAAATCTCTCTATCTGCATCCAGTGTTAGTACTCTCAAACAGAAAACAATTTACAAAAGCATTCTTTTGTGTAGCTTTCAAAAGCAAACAACACAAACATCACAGATGGAAAGCTTCACAATGACTCTGACACTTAAAACCACATCTTCAAAACCAAAGCAAAGAAGTGCCCATTTTACAACTTTTATAAGATACCTTTAACTTCAAATATACCTTTATTTCCTTCCTCTTATTACTTGTGCAACTGCTTACTGCTCCACATACCATAAACAAAATGCTGGACATTGTTAAAGACAGGTTTGCTACAGTCTAGAGGGATCTGAGCTCCTCACATCTCTGAATCAGCACAGGAAATACTCATAAATGAAGTCACCGATGCTGCAGAAACAGCCAACCTGTTCTATACTGCTAATGAAGTAAACCAAAACCTCCCAGTTAAGTAATTTCTTTAAAACAAATGGAAGTACGCACGATTTATTTTTTTTACAAGTTATTACGTTTAGGATCCCAGAGCCTTATAGAACATAGCTTTTTAAAAAAACATTTAATATATTCATTACTTCTCCTCTCAAATGTCACAATTAATTGGGACAGATGTCCCCCAACCCCAATTAAGATACACTTCAATTTTGGATGCATTATCATGTCACATCCCGTTCAAGTGTTTCATAGCTACAGTAAATTAGTTTGCTGGATAGAGAATTTTTTGGAAAATTTTCTGAGCTATAATAGACTCTTGTAATAAATCATGTTGTTTAGGTGAAAAATATCTGCCTAATGAATCTACTATTTTAGAAAAGAGAATTTTGGGAAATTTAAGAAAGTACATTAAGTAAATTAGTAACAAAATGAATAAAGTCATAGCCATTAGACAGATTATTAATGATGTTGTAATCAATCCAAACCCAATCTGTTCATCAAATCAGAGTGTACTTAAAGCCAGTCAAAGATCAGAATTCTCCACTACAAAACTTCTGGTGCAAAAACGCATATTACCAGGAAGCAGATGGGTTATTTTTTAAACTCGAAGAAAATGCAGAGGTATGTTGCACCCATAAGGTAGAATCAGACTAAGTGAGATTTAAGTAACAGCTGTTTTCCCTAAAGCCAGATCTAAATAATACTGAAATAGTATAACTGACAACAAATAGCCTGTTAGAAAGCTGAGTATAAATATACAGATATTATGTAATTGCAAAGTGGCAAATTAGCTTGGGGTACAGTTTTCCAAACAGAAAGAAAACAGGCAATACAAAGCAGTAAGATCTGGATGGCAAGAACAAAAGTTGTAGACCAAGCATGGGAGGTATTTGGTGAATCTGAAATCTAATCATCCTGCAGAAAAAATGACTAGCAAAACCAGAATAAGCCCTGAGCTCCAAAATAAGACGACAGTGTCTAGAACAGATGAAATCATTCCCTTTACTCTTGGGGAAAGAGATGAGGAGCGTAAAACACCAATCACAAGGAAGACAGACAAGTAGCTTCAACTCTTATTTCTCTCAAAGAGCTTTCAAGCCTGGTCACTTTGTGAGGGGTATCTTAGTAACACAGGTCAGTGATGTCTAACTGCATATATATATCAAGTACGGAGTTGCAACTACACAACAAAAATTGTCATCATATTACAGACATTGTCTATATAGCTTATAAATGGAAAATCAAAAATTGCATTTTCTAGCAGAAAGCAGAGACATTTTCAGAAATCTCTTACCCAAACTTGAAAAGTTAACTCAGTTTGGTCTTTGCATCCCAATAGAAACCTCTTTTTAAATTTTTTTTCCCTTAAATGTTTTATGTCATATTTTAGATATCTGAGCAAGCACTGTGACCACAGTACCAAAGAGAAGGAAAAGGCTTTGTAACATTGAGATACTTACTGTTCCAATCAAAGATTTTACATTTTTAAATTTTGTGGAACACACTTCTACATACTCATCTACAATTGACTGACAACCAGGAAAGCTGTGTTTAAAGGCAGTTCTTAGCATCCTTCCAGGATGTTTAGTTTATGTTAATCCAGTCAGGGACAGGGTGATAAAATATTTTAAGAGATTACACTGGACTGGCCTTTTGCAAGTCCTCGTTTCTAGAAAGCAGAAAACATTGTATCCCAATCCTGTCTGCATCTTACTCTGGTCATTAAAAGATTAATTCTGGATAAGCAGACATTACAGAGGCTTCTTTTGCTCACTTTTTCCTCAAATTCCAGAAATACTTGCAATATTGCTTAAGAGAAATGTTGAACAGTTCGGAGTAATCCTTGCTCTTATTTTCTGAAAAATTTTAGTAGCCATTTCCATACTGGAAAGAGGTGCTCTGTGTGTTCTGCTTGAGATTTGGAGGAAATACTCATAATTTTTATCAAAACCAGTGTGGTCCATTTAGTCACAGCCAATACAGCTGCTCCTTTGATTAGTCTGTTACCAGCTGACTCATTCAGATTATGCCAGGCTTCTACACCAACTGTAAAATTTCAGTCATCTAAGTGCTAATTTCAAGCCCTAACACTATTTAAGAGAATTAGCTTTCTCTCTTGTCCAACATCCACAGTGACCTGCACCACAGGTACCAGAGAGTAACTACCTTTTTAGTCGTCTACCTGCTTGCCAAGTGTGTTCAATGACACTGCACTCCTGGTGACACTAACATAATTACAGCATCTTCTCAGCCAGCCATGCACATAGCCACCTAGGATTGCTTTTACAGGTCAGCCTGACAAGAGTGCACACGCTTCTTCTGACAGTAACTAGGGAACTGTTGTTACACAGTAATGAGAAAGAAAACCTCAGGGCCATAATAACCTCAGTCTCTTCTTTAAGTGTTAACATATAGATTAAAAAAGGAAAAGACAGGATTAGTTTCTCCTCTCTATACAGATCGTCTTGCTTTGGTGCAAAGGAGGGGGTCAGCTACTTCTGTAGTTCTGTCCTTTTTGATGTAGTGAAAACCAGCAGCTATGAAAAAGACAAGGAATTTTCTCTGCACAAGTTCAAAATACTGCTTTTAGAGTAAGGATATCAACAGACCTCCTACACACTAATAAGCAGTTCTGAAGTATCTCCAGATGAGTAGTGGTAACAAGATCCTACACAGCTGGAGAAGACCCTATATTACTTGATCACAAATAATGCTGACCTCCCACATACCATGGGGGATGCACAATACCTGGAAATTGAATGACTGCCAGCTTCAGGGAATAACCCTTCCACCCCCTTGGAAAATCCTCACGAAGTTTATTCACAAACTCATTTATTTTTCTCACATCCATAGAAAAAAAATCTACAATTGTTCCAATGACTGTCAGCTTCAGAAAGCCTTTTAAAGCACCCTTGGTGTTCTCTCTGCAAGCATGCTATGACTTAGTCTGCCCTGTTCACCCCTTTTAACTAAAAGCTTGGAGTCAAACTGCCCCTTGACGCCCCTAAACTTATGTCACACTCAATTTAATTGTTGTAATATCACATTATATGTCTACACATCATTTAACTCTTATTTTGACAAATACCCTGAAAGGAAGACTTCTGGCAGTGCAAGAATTGTCACATTGCATCCAAGTGAATTTCAGCTGGCTCCATATTCACTCTGACAGTGACAAACATCATGTAACACAGAAGACAAAGATCATAACTGTGCTGGTTCTTGAGAACAAATGCTCTGGTTTATGCAAAGCTAGATAGATTAAATGAGATTAGAACAAGGTAAAGATAAAATGTTTTTTTGCTTTTGGGTGGTTTGATGTTTTGTTTGCTTTTTTTTAAATTTAAAACGAGTGGACTTAAAGTAGTCAAATAGAGAAAAGTCTGCTATAGAGGAACAAAGGTATGAGACGTTCAACTATACTCTTGCAAAAAAAATGCTGCAACAATCCACAGGCACAGATCCAGTTATGAACTTCCCTTCGTTATGCATGGAATTCAGCAATATTCTTTAGAATAGTTTAGATAGCATATGTTTATACTACTAGAAATCAGTATTTTTTTCCTTTAAGAGAAAATAAATACATACTCTAAAAGGAGCAGCACTATGACTTCTTGACTAAATTTGAGAGATTCCAACATTTACTTTCAAGCTTGCAGACCTGAAAGTTCAAGCTGAAACAGGTAAGTATCTTTTCCTTGATTCTCCTGATTTTCAGATTATGCTGTAAAACACTTGAGTAATAAAAACTTGTCACAAGATCACTGATATAATACCAGCAAGAATATTTTAATACCTCCATAGCTTGTTGTAAGCGTCCCTCTAGTGCCATAAATGCGAGAAACTGAGGATCCATATAAGGAATGGCTTGAGCAAGCCCTAGGCCATCTCCAAACTCATCAAGTATTCTGAAAAACATGAGTCAGGAAACATGTTATTCATTTCAAAGTAAACAGTAATAACATCAGGGCTGGGTACAAATTACTGCACAATACCAATTAACAACTGTGTGTATACACTCATGAGGGGGTTGTGTTGTGTTGACCTTGGCTGGCTTACCAGATACCCACCCAGCTGCTCTCTCACTCCACCACCTCAACTGGATGGGGGCATAAATAAGACTGAAAGCTCATGCGTCAAGATAAAGACAGCAAGATCACTCATCAATCACCATCCCAGGCAAAACAGACTCAACATAAGGGAAAACTTTAATTTAACCAGAAGGTTGAACCAGATGATCTTCTGAGGTCCTTTCCAATCTGGGCTGTTCTAGGATTCTATGAATTTATTTCCAATAAAAATGGATTTGGATGGTGAGAAACAAATACAAAAACTAAACCACCTTCCCAGGCTCAACTTAACTCCTGCATTCCTGACTCCTCTATGTCACCCTACCCCGAGCAGTGTAAAGGGACAGGGAATGCAGACTGTGGTCAGTCCATGGCAGTGACTCCCTGCCACTCCTTCCTGCTCACACTGTTCCCTCACTCCAGTGTGCGGTGCCTCCCATGGGCTGCAGTCCTTCAGGATAAACTTGCTCCTGAGTGGGTCCTTCCCACTAGCTGCACTTCTTCACTACCTGCTCCAGTGTGGGCTTTTCACAGGCACAGTTCCTTCAGCAAATACCTTCCTGCTCCACCTTGTTCTTCTCCAGGGGCTGCAGGGGAATCTCTCCTCAAGCACCTAGAGCACCTCCTCCCCCTTCTTCTCTGAACTCGGTGTCTGCAGCTTTGTTTCTCACATCATCCTCACTCATCTCTACTCTGTTGCATTTTTTAACCCTTAAAATATACTCTGCCACCCTGCAGTGGGCCTGCTGGAGCCAGCTCTGTCCCACACAGGGCAGCCTCGAGGCCACCCTGCAGCCCCTACTGCCAGCACCTGCTCCCAGGACAGTGGTACAACTCTAGACAATATAGACATCAGAAGAACATGATGGGAGCTTTCACTGCTGGCTTCCGAGTAAAAGGACATATAGTTCAGGTAAAAAAAAGAAATCTTTGTCAGTTAGGTTGACGGTTGGACAAGATGATCTTTGAGGTCCCTTCCAACCTAGAAGGTTCTGTATGCTATTAAGCTCGTTTTACAACTAGCATTCAGATTTTGATCACATTGTGTGTCATGGTTCATAGCATGGCAGCTGCTTTGAGTTCTATTTTCAACATTCAGAGACTAAATATTAGAAGAGACATAAGACAGATCATGTACAGATATGTATATGCTTAATAGACAAAATTTAACAGACTACTAGAGAAGCATCTTCCTTCCTATTCTGAGTAATTAGAAAGCTGACCAAGGCTAAATTCCAACACTTGAACAGTTTTGTCCATATCCTACAATTCCTTTGCTAGCTTGCTGCCTGGCACTGCCCCATTTGTCCTTGTTGTGCTTTTTCACAATATAACTTCACAAAGAGGAAATACCAGTGTTCCTGGCATATCTACCCTGTAGTTTATAATATTTTTAATAAGCACAAGAGAGCAAGCATTAAATCTCTCACAGAAAGCATTCTGTCTAGCTCACTCTTTAAAACAAAGGCACTACACTATTCTAGGATTAGGCTCTGTAAATGGCTAGGATCACCTTCTTGGTATTTGCAGACTTTTTGTAATAAATATATTGCACTGTTCTTCAGTATTCTAGTGACAGAAAATTGAGTGAAGAACTCAAAATTATGATAATATTAGGTAAGTGCATGGCATTTCAAAGAGATAAAATAAGCATCTAACTTATACCAGATGCAAAAGAGAAAAAGACCAATTATAGAACTGCACTGACTTGAATGCTGATTACATTCATATTGCTTTACTTTTGTTACACTTCCACTACACCTACCATCTTGAAAATTAATTGAAAAAGTACACCCATCCCTTGAATATTTAGCACACCACAATTTTCTCAGATCAGTCTGATTTAGCAAATCTACATTCTCGCTCTCTTTAGAGGAAACGTAGCCCTTCACCTGCCATAAGCCTTTAAACTCAGGTTATCAGCCTTTGAAACAAGTGCATATGGATAGCCATGAGTATTTTTGATATCTTACATTAAAAAAAAAAGTAGTGACTACAAACTGCTGAAATTAATGCAGGAATCTGTCAAAGACATACCTCCACTCCACATCCAGGTCTTCACTCACACTGGAGTCATCCTCAAGGTTGTTATTTCCATCCAACAGGAAGAACGCAGGATGCACAAAATCACTAACTGGATCATTTTCCTCATCACTGCTGCTTTCTACTTCATTTTGGTACTGTAACCAAGGAATCTCTCCTTCCTCCAATATTGTCTGTTCCCTTCAAAGACATAAATGAAAAGCTAAAACTAAAAATCTAGCAGAACTTAAAAACACATGCAAGTAACAAAAGCTACACATTACAACAGCTGCAGCTGCATTTTTCTCAAGACTGCAGCCTCAGTTTAGGAATTTATTATTTGCTGTACAAAACAAGAAACTCCCATTGGTATCGGCCCCAGACTCAGAATCTAGTAACACCCATGATTCTATCACAAAATTATTCATATAATGCTCAAGGCCAGCAGTACAACAAGTAGCTTGCTTTACATTTCTCCTAGCACAGGCAGTATTCCTGGCAGGGCTAGTAAATTTGGGACTAAAGATTTTCTTGTTCATCTACAAGGTCCTAAAGCCACTAAAAAGAAAGGCTCTCTTGACACACTGGAACAGCCTTCATGGGGAAACTTGGCCTGAATGCAAAGAGATATTATTTGCAAGAGAAGCTACCTGCAAAAGGAGAAAGGTTCCTCTCATTTCTGGAATTTCTAGAGGAGCACAAGTCACCTGGATGTTTAAAGCCATAAGGACGCAGGACCCCTTTCCTTATCAAAGGGCAAATAAACAGGAAACATGTAAAAAAGGGTATATTTGCAGGCTGTTCACATCAAAGAAAGCTAAAGAGTACACGGGTCCGTTGTTGTTCTGAAACAGATGAGTTTTCATAATGTTTTTATAAAGCCATGCAAATTCTCCAAACCTCAAGAGACAGCCATATTAAAAAAGCAGCAGCAGAGACTTTGACTGCTTGGTAATAGATACTGTCTACTTAAGAGTAGAAGCAGCTAAAAGAACACTTAGACATGGCTTGTTGCTTTATAAAGACCCAAATTAAGAATATAAGGTCAACAGTAGATGCTTACAAACTGAATTTTCCTTGGTTAGTTATACCTACAAATTTTGACTTACAAAGGCCGACACGTTTTATAAACTACTGAATGACTGAAAAAATAAGTTCCCAGCAAGCAAGTAGTTCAAGCTTACATTAATCACTGATAGACCTGCAGAAATGAAAAGGAACAGTGGAATACAAGAAGCAAAAAAGTGAAGACATAAACAACTGCTTTTCAATGAGTACTAAGTGGTATCAGATCATGCTTATGTAAAATATATGTGTTTAAAAAGCTAGATTAGGCATTTAATTATAAAGTCCATACATCCAGCCCATTGTCCTTATTGACACTACAAATCAATACCCTCTCATTTCTGAATCTTTCATAAAATAGAATTGTTTGTGACATGCCATTTTTTCCCCCAATTTGAAATACATATGACTACCCAGATTATTTTGATGTAGGCAGGTGATTATCACTAACACAGTAACAGGTTTTAGAATTGGTGTTATTCTGTGTAGTGTCACATGGATACCTTGTTACCGCTGATGTCAGAACTTACAGGAGTTTTTAGCTAACAAAATAAAACCATACCCTCTTTGGGAACAGACGTCTGTGTTCTCTTCTACACCACTGCTGCTGCTCTGCACTTCAGGGTCACAGTCCTCCTTGCCTGGGACAGTCTCCCAGCTCTCATCACTTGAAGACTGGTCCTTTTCTGTAGCAGTAAAATAGCTAGGCACAGTTGTAGACCATTCTCCATCACTCCATTCTGAACTGCAATTTAAACAAGGCAATGGGGTGTGAATTTAAACACTGCTTTAGGGGAAAGAAAAACACAAACATGTTGTAGTTTCCTATTTTTCTATGAACCCTGCTTTCAATATACAGTATTCGTTCTAGCAGAAACTCATCTTGTACTATTCAGAGATGTATTAAGGCAAGTACATAAAGAGCTGATTAAAAAAATCAGTTCCTAAGAAAGAATTTTTCCCATCCCACTTCATGAAAAGGTTCTTTTCTTCCCTCTCCAGATTTTCAGGGTTCATAAAACAACTCAGGAATACTATACACGTCTTTGTCCTAGCACATAAAGACAGCAGCAGTGACACTGAGAACACCAATGGTTGCTTAACAAACATTAAGCAATGTTGGCCTTACCGCTCAGCCGAACAAAATTTAAAATAAAAGCTCTCACAAATCTCTAAACCATAAACAATGGTCATTTTTTAAAAATCATTCAAAGATACAATGGATGCCTTACAGTAAATTATATAATCCACTAGCCCAAACAGCTAAATGGCGGGAGTTTTTCAAAGAGAATTTTCTCAGCCACCCCATATGAAATGGCAGTTAAATAACAAGTTGTGGGCAGATTAAGCAAAATAGCTATGTTAGTAGAATCTTGAGAAGGATAAACTTATCTACAGCTACATTTGGACATTTGGTAATGCCCCTTAAGCAGTTCACTCAATAGTAACAGTGACACCTACGAAAATTCAAAGTATAGTCAACTAGCTATGTCACTTCAAAAATTTACAGAAATCTAATAAATATGTGAACAGCAAGCATGCTTAATAGAGTGCATTTTACACAGCAATCCACAACACACACAGCTCAGTTTTCAATCTGCCAAACTCAGTATGTCTATGTGTATCAATGTTATCTGACCATATTCTGAAATCACTTGAGTTTTTGTCCCATTAACTAACAAATTATTCAGATTTGCACATTGTTTACACAGAAGATTCAATACTAACACAGGAATGAAATTTTACCTGTCTTCATCATTGTGGGACATTGAGGAGTGTCTCGTGCAGTCTTCAAAATCATCCCAGACAGTGCTATCTAGCACTTTTTTTTCTTCTTGAGCTGCTGCATTTTTCCTTATTATTTCTGTGTTCTTTTGATGACCTTCATATTCTCTTGAGTCAAAGTATATATCAGAACTCATCTCTCTGCTATTTTTCAAGGCATGCTCAGCATGGCCTTGCTGGATTTCATCAACTTCATCTCTTCTCCAAGAATCACTTTCCTCTTTATTGTCTTTAGGGAGAAACTTCTCTCTCTCCAACTGGTTAGCATTATTTGGTCTTCTTATTTTAGGTCTCACTACTAGCTCAGTTGAGTTTTCTCGGTCAGTCCTTCCACCATTGACATTTAATTCATTAGCAATTGTTATAGGGGTTCTGATTCCAACATCCACTGTATTTTTTATCTGTTGCATTTCACAATTGGCACCACTCAAGTTACTATTCAGTATAGCTTGATCTTCAGCAGAAGAATTAAATGTCCTGTTGTCTGGACACGCCAAGCCTGAATCTATGCTAAAATATCTCATTAAATGCATTGGTCCCGCTTCTTCACAACATTCTGTAGAAACACTGTGATTGAGAGCAGACAGTCGGGACTGTAAGTCAGTAAAAGACTCTATGTTTTTTTCTAACTCAGAAAACATGTTATCTAGTGTTCCCTGAAATACACTGTCTGCTTCTCTTGCCAAAGAAAATTTGTCCTGAGCATCATCTTCCTCTCCATCACTGCTATCTGGCTCGTAAGAGTCAATGTTTACAAAAGCAATTCCATTCTGACCATTCAAATCATTATGCCCTCCAGATGCATATTCTGTAAGGTCCTCAGAATTTTCATAAGGATTCATAAAGTTCCCTGAGATTTTGTTGCCTTCCAGACCATAAGAGAATAGAGAAAATGGTGACATGTTCGCTTCAAAAGTTCGGCTTGATACATTTTGGGCAATGGGTTCTCCAGTTCCAATATTTTCTAATGCAGGCTCATCCAATAAATCAGGAGAAAACTGAACCGTCGAATTGGAACCTTTACAGAAAGTTGTAAGAAAGAATGCATTGGAATAATCAAAAACAATTGAAATATTCTCATCTACAACAGCTGCTCATGAAGAAGAAAGGATAGTTCACTAGGGCTGCAGCGCAATTGATAGACAGAAATATTTACCAGAGATGCAGTCACTCTTCATTAATAAATTTATACTTCACTTATATAAACTAAGCATATAGAAATAGACTTAAATGATACAATTTCAGCTATCCTGCTCACAAAAAGCACAAGTATTAAAGGAATATGTGCATAAGCAGCATTTTTACATTGTTTATGGAAAGGGAAAATTTAAGATGAGGAAGATACCTGAAAAAAAAACACTAGAAGATTAAAAAAGCTGCAACATTTCTTTCCATAATTTAAAAATTGGACTATCCATCCATTAACTGGCTAAATTGTGCCTCCTGCCACACTCAGATAAAGGCATTTATTGCTACTATAAATTACATACTAATAGCACTGTATTTTCTACATGCAGCTGTAAGTGCAACTCCTCATAAGGAGAAAATAACAGCAGGGATGAATGTGGAATTACAGTTAGTAGTTACCATCATCACAAATTCAGTTTGGTTATATTACACTTGAACACCTCTTGCATAAAGAGACAATAAATATCAAACCCAGCAGCAAGAGTTAGGGAAGGTAAAAACATGTATACTGCTACTACAGAATTAATGCTTAGTTGAAGTCACTTGTAAACTCAAAACCAAGGCAATACCCAAACTATTTTTGAACATACAATGGCTTGCATGACTTCATGAGAGTACTTTAAGTTTCCAAATTTCTAGTGACTTAACTATAAGAAAAAAAAAGTGAGACTTGCATGGTTAGTTGAACAGATTCCCTAGCATGTTACTTTAAAAACACATAGAGGTAGGAAAAAAACATGTAAAGTTAGTGTTCCAGGGTGAAATAAACTAAATAGATAATCCATGCCTAGGTTGGTGAATTCATGGCAATGAAGTCTTGCGAAAGCTGTGCTTCTGATCACTGGGAGCCTGGCTTGCAGGAAGCAATGCTGTAACATTAAATTTTATCCAACTGAAATCTTGAAGCTCCTTCACAAAATTGCTAACAGCTGAGGCTGGCAGGCAGCATCCTCTGGACATGTTACAGTCCACCCTTCTTGCTCAAGCAGAGTCACCTATAGTAAGTTACCAAGGATCAAGTCCAGTCAGATTAAAAAATTTCCAAGAGTATCTCCTTCCACCCATCTTCCACAATTGCTTAGATGTATATAGGACATCAAGCCAATTAGCAAGAAAATATGCAGCATATTTTAGGTAGCACCCACCCATCAAAAAATAAGTATCAGCTGGGTTAAATGTAACCTAGTTGAGGTAAGCAAAATAAATCTACATCACATAACAGTCTCCAAGAACAATGGTATATGACAACGTTAATGTAACAGTATGGTATTATTAAAAAAATTAGAAGGAAAAGGCAGTTGCACAACAGTCTACAAAGAAAGGAGAAAAAATACTCCTTGGAAGATCTAAGACTATATCAAACATTTTTTTAGCAGAAAACCTTATACACTCAAGTACATGGGATATGTTTCTAACCCAACAAGCCATTTTGTATTTCTCTACAAAATTACTATTCAGATACTAAAGTCACAAAAGACATTTTGGGAAATACTAAAGTTCAACATCCATTAAACAAGAAAGGGAAATGGTCTGACAGGTATAAACAAATAAGGAGAACCTCTGAAGATGTTTTATAGGCTTAAACTAATTTCCACCGTAACTACACTAAAATTGACAAAGACAGAACAACCTGGTCCATGATACATCAAATACTTCACAGCCTAGTTCCAAATAGGTTAGAATAGGTATTTTCTTCCAAGTGTGATAATAATTTGAATTATAGCGTTATGGCTATCTAGTTGGTTAGAATGAATTAACTCACTCAAGAATGCACTTCTTCAGGTGAAGTTAAAGAGCCTAAAATAGACTATATGTTAATTCACCTTCATGATATTTTCATTCTATAAAGACATATGAAAAGTACTTTACACGTATTATTTAAGTGGTTACTGTTTTCCCTTAACATTTCTCTATGTGCCTTTTCCCTCGACCCACACACACCCCAGTTCGCAGTTAAATGGCACATACACACAGATACATGCACTTACATAAAGAATTCTCTCTCTGAACATCCTCCCATTCTAATCGTTCACAGTCTTCATGTTGATGTTCATCTCCGTCTTGGCTATTCAAAGATGGTCTAAAACCAACATAGGCATGTCGTCTTCCGTATCTTCTACCTGTAGCAGTCTGATACCCTCCTGCTGGTTTGGGCCAGGCAGGTTTGCCAGCTTCTTGACCCATTGCTACATGAGATTATGGAGGAAAGGAAGAGACAGAGAGACTGTATTAGACAACAGTATGTATTTATAATTTCCCTCTTCCTCAGCACTTCGATATATGTTTTTTTTTTTCAGCAAGAAATTTCCCATTTCTCTGAAGTCTTAAGCTTCACTTACAATACAATTATTAAGAACCTGAAGTACCCTGGGCACATATGTTATGAATGCACATAACACAAGTTTTCATCTGCATCAAATAATATTGACAAACACCAATATTGCCCCCATCTTAATATGTCTGCAGTAAACAACAGAATCTTTGTTACAAAATATTTAAAACTCAAGCCCAGATTTTACATGACTTTTTTTTGAATGTGATACACTTCTGCACATAGCTCTGACACAACACATGCCAGCTTGCAAAAAACATTTGTAAGCACTCTCATGGAAAAAGCCTTCAGTTAATGCAGCACAATTCAGACAGCCCTAGCTAGCTTATCTCTGTGACAGAAAAGGAACAACTAAACAAATCACACCTTCTAAAACAAGAGTCCCAAAGAGATATCTTTATTCCTTACACTAGGCAGTATGTTGGGGCATGGCCATACAACACAATTGCCCTCATATGGCTCCTATTATTATAGCAGTATTCCCTATTAACGGATCTTAATGCTTTTACTGAGAAAATATGGGATAAGTAGTACAAGGAAACTTGAAAACTGGTGGAGAAAAGCTGCCAACATTGTAACGAAGAAAGATCTTAATACAGCAGTAGTATAAAACATTAATCTAGCAAAAGTGTCCACATCCAAAGGCTGTTGCTTGTACAAGTGCGATTAGACATTCAGTATTTCAGATGGTCAGTGTCTTTTTCATGTTGCTCTAGGTCACTTTTAATCTTTACTAAACATGGCATGAACATAGCTTCTCTGTTCTTGAAACTCAAACTAAAAAGGTGACTTTACAGTCTGGAAAGATAGAGTTTGTAAACTTTAACACAGAGTTTTCTGAATTTCAGAAAAATAAAGCTTTTTTCCTTCCCGGCTGTTAAACTCTTCATTACCTTCAAAAAGAGACTATCTACATGCAAAGATACTATTTATTAGCAATTATTTTATGCAACTTTGTGTAGTATAGCCACTAGTAAGGCTGATACTTGCAGTATGTAGACTGTTAAAAGATATGACTGCACACATGTACTAACTATCAAACAGTCCAAGCAGATTTGTGTTGTTTTGCTTTTTTCCTGTGTTTGTGTTTTTAACTAGATTCACTGTTGAAGCTGTTATTTTCCTAGGACTAACATACAGGAAACTAACTCTGTTGCTGCCTATCTAATAAATCATGAAAAATAAAATGCAAGGGAGAAAAAGATATACTTTTCTTGGGGCTGCACTCTTAGAAATCACAATTCCTTAAAAGCTTTAATGTAGCATGAAGAAGAAAGCAAACTATTGTAAACTATAGTTTCCAGTAGAAACTAGTCTTAAGAGATTCAGACACACAACATTCTACAAGGTTTTGGTATACAATTGTCAGCATGGCAATTCTGGTAACAATTCCTAGCAATCTGCACTTCAGTCAAATCTCTGTGGAAAAAATCCAAATATTTTCTGCCTGACCTTCCCTACCAAAAAAAACAACAAAACAAACAAAAAAAAAAGAAAACAGGACAGAAACTTTAGTACGATGACAGTGGAAGATTCAGGGCCTCAGAAAAAACCCACAAGTTCCAGGAAGAGAAAAATAACCACTGTCAGCCTGACATGGAAAAAATTAAGTTTGGAGTAAACCAAAATTAGACTCTCAATAGAACACCTGTCACAAGAGTATAAAATATTACTGTTTCATTCCCAGGGAAATTGACAGCAACAGTGAAGATCCCTGCAGTGCTTAAAAGGCAAATATTTACAATTGAATTGCTTAAAATTGCAACATTTAAGCAAAATATGGTATAAGGAGTCATTCATCTAACATTATCAGCTTCATTTTTTGTTATCTTTAGCTAATTCTAAGAAACATTTGCTACAAAAATGTTGTGCTATAGCTCACCACATTTTATCTATGTCTCTAAATCTCCCTTAAATAATGTAATCTTAGTCATGTCTTCTTTCCAGCCTCCTCCCACACTTGAAATCTCTCCAACCACAGCCCAATTCCATGAACACTGCATCAGTCCAAACAGGTCCATCACCAGCTGCAATATGGTGATGCTGCTTATTCCTACATACCTGAGTGAGAATTCAGTTGAACCTTTGCAGAAAGAATTAGCAAGTATCAGAGGCCTTTTTCTCATTTCTCTACAAAACTCTATGTAGTTTGATAACATATAGTCTCCCTTGAAAATATTTTCAGGGCAGGGTCCAACCCTGCCCATCCCACATGAGCAACAGAAGCTGAAATAGTCAATTCATCATTAACTATACAACTCTTGCAATCCTTCAAAAGATGTAAACTCTCTACCATTTTTGCCGAAAAAAGTCTCTGCAACCAATGCAAGAAAAAGTGGACACTTGATTTTCTTATTAATTAGTCAACCAGTTAGTATCCTTAAGTCAACAAGTAAGCCACATTTATTAAAGCAAGCTCTGACAATTCTTAAATTTTTTACTGGTTATAACATGCCTGGTTAGCAAACTGCCAGAGGAAGCTGACAATAAGCAGCCAAATCCAAACTTGCAGAGCAGAATACAACATTTAGATTAGATAATCAACATAGCAACACAGAAATCTGCCCTCAAACATGGCAATACCAGTGGTCAAACCAAAAAAAAGGTAAAAATACAACATAACTGCCCTAGTCTTAATTTTAGTTTGTCCTCTCAAACATCAGCATTATTCAAAATCAGATGTCCACTCAAGAGAGTCAGACTCTGAATGCAAATGTTTTATTTTTTAAAATTGATTTTCACAGCATGCAAAAATCTTTAAAGCTGGGTGCAATGTACATTTTTTGTTCTACTCACTCTGTATGCAAGAGAATTACTTCATCTTGTATTCAGTTTTTAAAAGATACATCATGCAGTTATTTTTCTGCCCTTGGAAAGATTTAGTGGATCAATATAGTGATGCTTTCACTGTTTACTGAACATTTGGATGCCACATTTGGTTTACAGGAGAGGTTAACTTCTACTTAGATACAAAATAGCTCAAAATAAGAGCAGGAGACATACACTTACTTGCTTACAGGCCTAAAATGGCCAGCATTTAGGCATCTGAATCCAGAGACCAATTTACAAGAAACCCTTCAGGCAATTAAATTCCTGAGACACATAATATCCTCTGTCAGGTCCCTCTTCCAGGCTAACCCAACCTTAAAAGTGGGCATTGCTCTATGCTCTTTCAGAAGCTCAGTTTAGTAGTCTGTTCAAAACACATTCAACACCTGCTGACAAGACAATTCTGCAGAGCTCACCAGTCCTAGAGATGCAACACACCAGTGACCCAATAACCAAGGCAGGAGAAACAGACTATTTATTCACTTCAAGCTAAAGATGTTTATACACACATCTCCAATCTTTCAAAAGGGTACTACAGTCACCTGAATTTCTCAAAGGATCACCAGCAGCTGTCATAAAGCAGAACAGCATTTCAGATTACCAGAGCTCAATTTTAAAAACAAAATAAACCAAACCCAGAAGAGGAAACTCTTCTAAAACACAGAGTTCACAAACAGGTAGGTCCAGCCTTTTTCAGGCACTGCCTTAATCACTGATGCAGAGCAGCATACTTCACTTCTGCAAACACTACACTGAGGACTCCACTTCCTAGAGCCAACAAACTACAGGCTGTAACACAGAAAGCCTGAGAATGTAGACCCAATCCATCTGACTCACATAAGCAACTTGTCCTCTCCTGCAAAAACCCCACTGGTTTTTCAGAAGTAACACAATGTTCAAGGTTAACTGTAGATGTATATACACGTGTTCACAATCTAGCATTGTAACTTGAGCAGACAGAAATGATCCATCCACTTGACCACAATCCTACATAGAAATCTCAGACCATTCTGATTTAGAGGCAGATTTAGGACCGCTGGAGTCTCACGCTCAGCCACATGCTCCAACAGGATCCCAGTCCTCAGCCACTGAAACCCAGCTACCTCCCTTTAATCTTCTCCCCATTACCTTTTCTTGTCCCCCTATCCTCTCAACTCTCTCACATCCTGCACACTAGGGTGAAAAAAAAAAAAGAGAAGCAGCTTCCTAGGATCAAGGAGTGCATGTTCTACATCCACCACAGTACCTAAACAAATCACCAAGGCCCCTGCAGATGTAGGATGCCAATTGTGGCACACGCCTATTTCCTGAACAGGGTGACCTCAGCTGCTGCAGAGGCAGGTAGACTGGTCTTACTGGTGACTCCCAGAACTGCTGTCATGGCACCACTTTATTGGAGCAGAGTCTAGTCCATAAAAGCAATGGTAAAAACAATAAAATATGCATAAGAAATTGCAGTTCATCTAAAGCAGTTCAGATATTTGAACAAAGTCTTGCCTTTTCCCCAAGAGCTGAAATACTAAAACCCTTCCCTTACTTACCTAGCAATTTTTGTAGTTTAAAGAGAAGGTACTGGAGTTTGGTAATTCCCACTGAAAAAAAATACATCCCATAACCCTAGAAACCTCACAAGGACATTTTCAGTTAAGTAGTCCATCAAATTTACCTGGATCTTGTTTTCACCCAATTACATCCAATTTTATTTCTTTCACACATACAGTCATCTCCTAGGCCTATTATATACCTCACATAGGAAAACAAAATTAGGATGCATGGCATGCGGGGGTGGGGGGCAGGAAGCAGCAGTCCCAAAGGGGATGCATTTTCTGCTGCAGAAGGTATTTACTTATTTAAGTAGCTTTCTTTTTTTTTTAATATATGCAAAGTGAGCTTCAAATATCCCTCTAAGTAGTATTTTTCAATCTTTTAATAACGCATACTAAATTTAATAACTCATATTTCCCAGCATTCTTTAAAAACTTGCATACATATTCTAGCCTCAATCTTACCAATATTCTTTCTTCC